ACTCTGTGGGAACATAAATCTGCTTCATCCACACCTCCCTATCCTCTTTATCTCTCAGGGCCATGCTTAGCTACTGGGGGAAGATGAGGCTTCTCCCAGCTGCTCAGAGCATTGGTGCTGAAACCACTTCCCAGCCCCCACAGCACGCATGGAAAGGCACTAAAAGAGTTTATGGAGCTCTGCAGGCAAAATGTAAAAAACAGGTACAAGTGCCAGCCATCTGCACCCTGCCCTGGTTGGCAGCACTGTGATATCACGTGACAGGACAGAGAGGACAGTGAGGTCAGGGAAAGAAGATAACATGCATCTATCTATGAGAACTGCTGGAGTTGCAGTACAGCAGGAACAAGAAAAAATCCCTCTTGTCAAACAACCCCTCTGCCTCCATCATCCCTCCCTCCCTTCCAGTCTAAGAAAAGCATAGATGTGATAGCAGGAGTCCTGAATGGGAACTGTTATCTGAGCTGATTCTGTCCCACTCCCAGGTTGTGCATCTGGAGAGGCTTGCACTATCATCATCCCCATCTTATGTGCTCCCTGGAGAAAGTCCATGAGAGCCAAGCACAGTATCACAGTGCAGGCAGTTACTGTACTTACCCTTCAAGCAACAATCATGGCCCCATCCCAGTCTTGGACAGTGCCCCTGCCCTGGTCTCTCAGATGTTGTTGAGAATGCATATAGCGATAATGAGGCATAGCACATTCTCTTCCTCCACCTTGAGGCACATGCTGAGAGTCTATGAGCACAGCTTCAGGTGGCTCAAGGTGTAGTCCACAGTCATGTGACACATGCTTAGGAGTAGTTTCATAGTTTCATGGATGTTAGGGGCTGAAAGGGACATTACACATCATTGGGTCTAGCCCCCTGCACTTGGGCAGGAAAGATCTCTGGGGTCAGATGACCCCAGTAAGGTGGACGTCAAGACACTTTTTGAAGATGGCCAGGGTGGGTGACTACCAGTTCTGGGGGATCCTGTTCCAAACTATCGGTACTCAACTTGTAAAAAAGTTTTTCTTTATGTCCACTCTGAAGCAATCGTCAATTAGTTTGTGCCCATTGTTTTTTGTCCTCCCCTGGGGGACCTTGGCAAACAGATGCTCTCCCTGGCCCTGATGTCATTAGGGGCATACGCCCCTAATAGTTGAAGTACTTCTTTCAGTGATTCAGCTGCCCCACTGGAGGGATTCATGAGCCAGGGCAGGAGGAGGTAAGACAGGTCCCCGATGATGACGGGAGTGATGATGATGTGCCAGTGATGAAACTGGGGACTCTTGGAGTGTAGCATCTGTTCTCCATCATCTGGGAAAGCAGGGACTTACAGAAGACACAGCATCATGGGCATTGTCCGCCCAACTGGCAAAGATGTGGCTGAAGCACTCTGGTGGTTAATGATGCCCTGCAGGACAATGGAGAACTAGCCTTTGAGGTTGATGGATTCCTGAGCACCTTGAGGAAGGCAGAGAATGGAGATATGGGTGCTGTCCATGGCCCCCACACAGTTGGGGAAGCCCATGCAGCAGAAGCTGGTGACCACCTCCTGCAGGCTGATGAGTACTTGTCCACACTGAACTGGTTGGTGATGTAGTGGAGACTGCTGAGAGTGGCTGGCTTCATGATGGCAATGGTCACCCACTTCTCTGGAGTGAGTGATCATCACATGCTGATGTCCTGGTGCACAATGTCCTTGAAGATGGCCTGGACATGTAGAAGGTCTAGACCCACTGTTTTTTGTCCCAGGTGTCCAAAACGATCCACTCCTACTTGTTGTTGCTGGTGGTGCTGGCCCAGAATGGTTTGGAGGTGGTGCTAGAGAACCTCTAGTGTCTGTGGCACCCTGGGTGACCTCATTCTCATCAGCCACTTGGAAGTTGGTAGTTTAATCTGAGGTGCTTGATGGGTGCAGTGCTGTCCCTTCATGGGACAGCTGGCTGCTGGCTTGGGAGGGTGGGAAGCCACATACCATGGCAACCAGCTGCCTGGTCATCTCCAGAAGGTTGCATGTGATGTCCTGCAGTCTTCAGCAAGACTTGTGCAAGGTGATAAGCAGGACATGTTGCAGATCTTGGGTCTATGTGCTTGGGCATGGGTGGTGGGGTGCCATGGTGGTTTGTAGGCAGACTGGGACACAAAGACACATGTAATTAGTAAGGGAGGGCACTAGCTCTGGGACTCTTCTGGAAGCCTCTGGGTAGGATGCGGGGGAGAGTTTGCTGTGAGGCAGCAGGGGGCTGGGGAGTGGTTGCCCATGCCTGGCAGCCAATCAGGTATGGCCAGGGAGCTCAGCTGCACTTTGCAGTGTCTGGCAGCCCAGGGAGCCTGCAGGACATGCTGGGAAGCATGCAGGAGCACCCCCTGCCTGTGCCCCCCCACCTCACAAGGGAAAATATATATACTGTTCACTCCCAATTTAAACTAGGTCACTTGGATTGATTCCTCCCCTGGTTTTTTGAATGTCTGCATGTGGCCTCAGGGTCATTCTCCGCTAATGAACATGGACATGTCTTAGTCGAAGTCAACAGAGCTATCTATGCTTGATTTACATTAAGATATGAAAGATCTGGCTCTTCAAGTTGATTTAAACACTTCTGATTCTTGCACAGTCTCCCCTGCCTTTCTTGTTGTCTGGTTTTAACAGGTACACATGTTATGGTAGGGAAGGAAGAATTTAAAAGGGAGCCAGAAACCCAAACTTCCATTCCCTGTCAGACACAGACATGTATATCCCCCAAAGTTTTCACATCCTGAACACTATTCTGAACCCCAATTATAGTTTAGTAATGTTCATATTCTAAAACCACACGCTCAAATTGTTATTTCTTCACAATTGAGAGGTGCGGGTTTTCAAAGTATCATTTTGCCTAATATCCTGTTCATATTCAGACATCATCTCTTAAGATGCTCTAACCTCCCTGACACAATAGATATTGCTGTAAGTCTATAATGTGCATTCTGCAGTCTTTCTGTTTGTTTTTGAAAGGGCATTATTTCCCCTCACAGCATCCTCCAAGTCAGACAGTCATCAACTTAAATGTTTCTAGTGCCTAGCATAGAAAAAAAATCATGAAATATAACTTCTACTATGGCCTCCTTGTAATCAGATATATAGAAAAAAGGTGTAATATCTCAAAATATCAGCCTGCCTGATAAGTACTGAATGAGTACTTTCTGATAAAAATTCAAGAGGAGGAGGAAGTAGAGACCTTACCCATGGATGAAAGCTACTATGCAGCAGGTATCCTCAGCAAGGATGACTTAGCTCTTTGCTGACAGGCTAGTTACATTATATTCCATGACTACTCCAGCAGTTCCATGGTTCTGGAACTTCACTCCCAATAACATCAGCTATTGATCATTTCATTTCCAAGTTAAGTTTCTGGTGGCAGCATATCAAGTTCTTTTGAAAGGCAGAACTAGAAGAACTCTTTGATTTCTCTTATCTTTGAGAGCACCTAGTAAATTTATAAAGTATACACAGATTTTGATTGCATGAAACTAAGAAAGGGTGTAAATTATATTAAGAGTCAAAATGCAGATTCTTACACAAATTGTGCTTGGAGATTCCTATTAGAGGCTCTGATTTATGTTACTTCAGTGAGTATGGGACACCAATATCCTTTACACTTCTAATTTGGATGCGTGTCTTTGTGGTGGGTAAGCCAGGAGAATGTGTATGGCAAAGTGATAAAAAACAAGACAAGAAGCTTTTCCAGAAATGTGTTATTTCATTGTTGGAAACAGAAGTGAGTAGATACAGACACCACGCACTGCATCCTTATCTTGCCAGTTTACAGAAGTGAGCAGTATAATTGATGGAAATATTTCTCTGGGTACTACATTAGACCTGAAAGTCTTTCCTACATAGAGGCCACATCTACATGAGATGCTGACTGTGCAGTTGTTACTGGGCAGTCTTGTAGTACTTGCATAGCATCCCCACATGGCTTCCTGGTGATGCTGACTGCGCAGTAGCTCATTACTACTGTGCAGTAGTGTCATGTCACAGTTCATACCTTGTGATGCTACTGCACAGTACTAATGAGCTACTGTGCAGTAATAATGAGCTACTGCACAGTACATATCTCATGTAGAGACGGCCAGAAAGATTATATCAGTGTAAGCTAAGACTATGACATGAATTTAAACTAAGATAGTTTTATTAGAAAACTCTTCAGAAGAGGGTGATAATCAAAACTCTAGAATACTTAAGAATCTATCTGTTTGCTTCTCAAATTGTTTAGCTATGTCTTTCAGCAATTTTACAATTCAAAGGAAACTTCCTTAAGAATTTTTTCACTTAAGTATAAGGAATCTGGTATATGCTGTTAAAGGTCCATCAAGTTCAAAGACATCTATCTTTCTAACAATTAATCCCATGTAATATTTTGGTAAATTGATCATCTGTGCCTAGAACAAATCAGCAGGAGGGCCAATCTCTCTTCATATATAGGCCAGAATACACACACACACACACACACACACACACACACACACACAATAATTAAGGGTGTGTACAGAAGTGCTCTGTGCACATTTTACAGCACTGTAATTTAAAGCACTTTTTATAGCACTATAAAGTTACAGTGTTCTTAAACATAACAGAAGTGCAATGCTTGGTGGGGCAGAGAGAAGCTCTGAGCCTCTCTTCACTTTCCAGGCTAGGAGGCAGGGGGTGCTCCGCAGCCTGCATACAGAAGTTATCTGAAGCACTGTAGGTTGCTAATGTGCAATAAAATATAGCACTTCAAATGTAATACCTCATTTAATAAAAGTTAATTTAAAGTGTTCTACCCATGTTTAAAGTGCTGTAAATCATGGTGAAAAAAGCAACTTCTGTACATATCCCAAGGTATTGGTTTCAAATCAGTGAAATAAATCTTACATATGTTTAATTTTTTTAATTAGACATTTCTGTTCTGAGGGGCATAAGAAAGTAAACCTATAAACATTATATATATATATATATATATATATTTATTTTCAGTTTTCTTGTCTCAATCAGGAATGGTACAGATGACTGTGCAAAGCTATATGAGGTAGGTTTCAGACACTGCATAGCTATACCATCTATTTAGTTTTTCAAAAGAAGGAATTTTCCATTTCACTTTTTTTAAAGTAGCAAATTTGATTATGTACATAGATTTTTAACTTTAGTATCAAAGTACACACCTCTAAGTACCATGTAAAGCTTGCTTAAGCTCTGTTACAGGGCAAGCTGGAAGGATAAAAAAAGATCACTTTTTCATCCAAAACATATAATTGCCATTAACCATTCTAGGTGCACATGAGTAAAGTTAAGTGTATTTAGTATAGAAGCATGAAATTTATAACTAATATGAGCGAAGAGTGTCAAGTTACAAATGATTCCTTTTACAATGAATAACTCCTTAAGTCATCTATATCCAGATTATCAGTTAAAAATCAAAAAGCTTAACCGTGTTAAGAAATTATTTTGAGATGTTGTTCCTGCTGTTACTGCTACTCACTGTGCCTACTCTCTCTGAAACTTTGTTAACAGCAATTATATCTTTTAGAAGTAGGTGGCTAGAGAAAGTGTGCTCCCGAAAGGTTCCCCAAAGAGCCACCATCTGTCAAAAGTGAGACATTTTGCCACCTTTATAATTAGCATTTACTGGTACCTAACACCTACGTTCTGACACCTACTGTAACATACTGTTCTTGAGATTGCCACGGTATCGTACATGCTCTTCTTCAAAGACGTTGCTATTATGTATCATTATACACAAAGACAAAATGCAAATGTTTACTCTAGAAAAAAATCATAATGACATCCCAGAGGGCCACAAGAGTAAACACATTTCATTGTTGCTTCTTCCAACTACTGTAGATGCCTGCATCAGTTTGCAGAAAGTCCTGTTATGTCAAGATGGAATAGTTTCAACTCGTCTTATTCTCTTACTAGTGCACCCACTAGGTTAGTAAAGTTTAGATGTTTTAAATCCAAAATAGTAATGATTAGTCCAATTTAGAGAATGTTAAAAAATAACAAATGCACTATGGAAAAAAAAAAGATATACCTGACCCAATATCCATTGAAGTCGTCTCATTTGGTTTGATGAGAGCAAAGATGGTCCTCTACTGATTATTGGGTAACTGCTCCAAAATTCATTGCCATCAATAGTTGGATTACCATTGACTTCAGTCAACTTTGGTTCAGTAATCAGGGGAAGGTTGGACATCTTTCTGGGGTACTCTGAAAGGCTAACCTCTGGTAGCATATACCTTAGCTGTTATATGGACAGGAAGAGGAATTCAGTCTTCATATTTGTTTATGTTCCCAATGTTAATCAGGGATTAGTGGGAGGATGAGGTGGATGGAGAGGGAGTTGTTGATAAAGGGTTAAATCATGTAATAGCTAAACAAAGAAAAAGGCAATGTGAAGAGAGTTATATTAATTATTTTAATGTTTTCAACACAGCATCACTGAACTGCTGCAGCTCTGGGAAAAGGATCCAGTTGAGATTCTACTGGATTTGGGATTTGGTAAAGAAGAACCTGATATCTGCACTAAAATCCCTTCTCGATTCCTCAGTAGTGCTTCCGTAGCCAAAGGGATCAATATCTGTGTCTTTCTGGAAGCTCAAAAGCAGCGTATGGACGTTGAGAATCCTGATTTATATGGTAAGCAGGTTGAATTTCAGCAAAGGTGAAACTACAAAAATGTGGAGGACTTGCAGCAAGGGGAAAAGGGTGTTAAGAGAGAAGATACATGAGGTCCCAATACTGTATATAGGGAAACATCAACATGATGATGCAGAGGTACTGTGTAATTATTTCCTGATATTATCAAAATAGAATTAATTCTGTTTAACAGTGTTTCTAGTCAGGTCCTCTGACATAACTGTTTCATAGAGCGCATGTGCATAAAGATGTAGATGAATGTTATATTAGAACTCCATTAATCTTTCATTATTTAAGAGGGATAAGCTTGGCCTTTTATTTATTTGTGTGTGTTATTTTATAGCAACAACATATCAAGTGCACTTCACAGACAAGATCTTGGCCCAAGGGAAAACCATGATACAGCTATCTTAATATAATGCTGTTAATATCACTTGGGGACACAGGCTTTTACAGTAATTTTTAAAACATGGTTACACCTTGTATTGTTCCACCCTCCAAGGGTGTTGAGAAATTGGAAAAGATTGAAAAAAAGCTTTAGTAATAATTTGAAGCCTGGAAAACCATTTAAATACTGAGAAATATTAGAGGGTCATTTTTTATCTTATCAAGGAGAAGGTTAAGAGGTGACTTAATCATGGTCAATAAGAATACCTACCTGGAAGAAAAAATTCTGATGCAGCAGGCTCTTTAATCTAGAAGACACAAAAATAATATTCAGTGTTTGGGTTCTGATGCTAGAATAAATAATTAAACTGAAGATGTAAATGTTATATGGTGAGGGTCATTGGAATAATTTATATAGACATGAGGAGAATTGTCTGTCACTTGAAGTTTTGTGAGGGTCAGTTGGGACGTCTGCTTAAAGAGATACTTTATCTCAAATTGCAGTTATAGGCTCAATACAGGAATTAGCATGTGAAAGTGATCATCATTATGAAAATCTGTTGGTCTTTATTGTGATCATGGTCACACTTTGTACTTTCCATGGGTCAAACTCTTATCTCCATTTTCATTCAGTAATGGAATTATTTGTAGTGAAATATGCAAGTGCACCAAACAGGAGGAATGGTACCAGAGGCCTGAATTATATTCCTTAGTATAGTCCAAGTACTCCGTATCCCATAAAAACCTAAAATAGGTAGAATCCTTTACTGCATTCACTTTTATTTTCTTGTTTACAGCATGCTGCCCCTTCTCATACAAATAGATGCATTCTGTAGTGTCAAGATGTTCCAACCTACTTTCTAGTACTCATAAGCATATTCAGAGAGCAGTAAGGATCTCTTCTCAAGGTTAAACACTGGCCTCAAACTGAAAGAGATTTTAAATGTAAAGGGGAGATGTTTCAGGAAGAATATTTTGTGATGTGTTCCCTTTTGACTAACTTTATTTGGTACATATTGCCACAAACTATTAATCACACCATTGCTTTCCTTCTGCTAGACACAGCTTCCTTTTATTTATTTTTTTTGTGTGGTCTATATTCCACCTCTCTGAAAGTCTAATTGTTACGCAGTTTACCCTCCTGTTTGCTACACGGTATAGCCAGATGGCTCTCAAGAGCTTTTGTTTGCTCTTGAGACATTCAGCAAGGCAGAATCTCATACATACTGTATGCATTCTTTGTAGAAATGTCATCAAGAAAGCAGTATGCGGAATGTAACAGAAATGTCATACCCTTACTGCAAATGTTTCTTTGTTTTTTTAACAAGCACTATATGCAGCAAACCCATGCACCAACCGGGTTTCTCATGGGTGTTTGTGTAACTCCCCAGACAGAAGGGAGGACATAGAATGAGAGAAATCACTAAGAATGCAATGATGAAGGGGAACTGAAGGAGGTGGAGCAAACTCAAGGAATGAATGAGAGGAAGAATAGGGAACAAAATGAAACAGAGAGGTTGCTTATATAAGGAAGTTAGCATGCAAAATAAGTATAAGTTTACAATTCATTAGCTACTCTGCCCTTACTTCCTATACAGGCAGTCTTAAAACGCATTAGATATAACTTTATTAAGAGGTAAGTTACTCCATTTTTAAAGCAGAGCTGTATATTTGCAGGGGTTTAGGTTGTAGCCGTGTTGGTCTAAGGACATAGGCAGACAAGGTTCCTTGGGTGAATTTGATATCCTTTATTAGACCAACCCAAATGGTTGGAGAATAGTTATTAAGCAAGCTTTCGGGTTCAAAAACCCTTCGTCAGGCTAAGGAAGTTTCAGCAGTTGGTGTGTGCTCTTCCTGGATGGAATGAAAAGTAAAGAAGCCAGGGGCTGGGCTGGGGAGTCAGCTGCCAGGCAGATTATAATGTATCAAAAATCCAATGTCTATGTTTAGTCCATGATCTCTAGTATCCAGGAGGCTGATGAAATGGAGCTCATAGGCTCGTCTCTGGGAAGTGTTGTGTAAGTTTCCCTTGAGGATCAGGACTGAGAGATTGGAGAGAGAGTGGCCCTCCTGCGAGAAATGTGCCCCCACCGGTAATTGGGTGTTTCTGTCTTTGATGGACTTCCGGTGTGCGTTCATTCTGGTGCGCAG